AAGTGCAAAAATAAAAAAAACAAAGTTTGCTTACTGTGCTGATTCCAAAGCTCAGGTATTTCTCCTACATGGAGGAAATAATAAACTCAGAATAAAATAATTTCCTGACTGAACAGCATGAACATGTAAAATTAAGACTTTAACACATCTACACTGATCTTCATCTGTTACTTGACTGTGTTTCTTGTATTATCAGTGTAAAAATTGAGCTTGATGTGAAACCACAGATTCTCCTTGGAGGCCCGATATTACAATCCCAGGTGATCTGAAGGAGAAGGAGTCTGTCACTATAACCTGCTCAGCTCTCACTCCCTGTCCACACTCTCCTCCTCAACTCACCTGGAATCTCCAACAAGACTCTCACAACAAAATAGAACAAAACACAGATGGAAGCTCTACAACTAAAATCCAGCAGAACATCACTCTGTCAGACACACATGATGGAAAGAAGATCAGCTGCTCTGCCAGATATCCTGTGAACCAAGGAAACGACACCAAGACAGCAGAGACAGAAGAGACTCTCAGTGTTTCATGTAAGACAATCAGAGTTTGTTGCTGAACTGAATCCCATATGACAACATGATTTATGGGATATTCTTTTTTCTCTAGATGCTCCGAAAAACACCTCAGCATCCATCAGTCCATCAGGTTTGGTGTCAGCAGGCAGCTGGGTGAAGCTGACCTGCTCCAGCAGAGCCAAACCAGTCAGCAGCTTCACCTGGTTCAAGAAGAGCAGAGATGGAGCTGTGAAAGTATCTGAAGGAGAGATTTACAGCTTCAATGTAACAGATGGAGGAGTTTATTACTGTGTGGCCACTAATGATCTGGGTAATCAGACATCAGCAGAGATTCATGTGACTGTTGGAGGTATTTCCAATTTTTCCTTTTTTCCTAAGTTTGAAATGTCACTTCAATTGGAGATCGTTCCCATTCTGCATCATCTGTAAACTTTCAATTATATCTTGATGTATGGAAGTAACAATAAAAGCGGAAAAAAGAAAAAGAATAATATAATTTAAAAAACATAAAAACTGGTAACAAAGTAAGGGTAAGTCAAAATGCTAAATTATCACTATTCTAAAATAAGCAGAAGCACCTGCGGGAGTGAAGAGAAAGCAGGACACAGCCACATCACATCATAGTGGATTCACCTCAGAGGGCCTTAATTAATGTGAAATGTTTGTTTTTCTCTTATTTCATGTTTCCTCTCCTCTAAAATCGTGTTGCATTGTAGATGATCTGTTTGGTGTCTACACTGTCTTCATTACGCTAGTGAAGACTGTGGGAATCATACTGCTTTTGAGCACACTGATCATCTTTGAGTGGTGAGTCAGCTGCTTTTATGATAGTCATTTAAAACAATTTACAGGCTAACTGATTTAATTTCACTTTTACATTCATTCTATTAAATAGATGTTTATCATTAAACACTAAGAAAAAAAACAACAACTGCTTCTCTTTTTAATTTCTTTTTGTTTTTTCTTCAGCTGGTTTAGACCAGGACGCTTCAACACACCAGAGACAGAAAGCGTTCATCTGAACAGAGCGGCATCACAATCTAATAATTAATGTGTCTGCAAAAAGAGGACACACATCTTGGAGATCAGCAGTGTTAACATCTGCATGCTGACACAAACATCTGTATAGTACTCAAGTAATGTTAACATGTGTTTAAGTTAACTAACATTTTAGGATGGAAATCTATGACTGGACTTAAAATCTGCTGATAGCAGATATAAAATAATCACTATCTGAAGCTTTTATAAACAATCAGCTGTCTGCTGCACAAAAACCACACTGTAGTGTTACTGTGAATTTTTTGTGCTGAAGGCACCACTCCACATATGATGAAAGATAAAGTGTCTGTTTGTGGCTGATTTACTTCACTGGTGAAGAAGAACTGATGAGTTAAAAACAGAACCTTACTGAGAAATTAGATCAGCGGGAAGCTGCAGACACAGTTTCTATCAGATCTGTGAGTACAGACATGAAGCCTTTTGCAACAACATTTCTTAATCATGTGGTTGGTGACTCTGTGTATTCATTCATTCTTTGTGTTCATGTTTTAAGATAGTATTTATGAAGTTAGTGCAGACAAGAAAATGTCTGCATGTAGGCCATTTCTTTGGATGTCAGGACTGAATTTCCCATAAATAACATTGCATTGTAACAAGTTGATCAGTGTCATTGTTGTGTCTGACTGGTCGTTCTAAATAAAGTTATTATATACATAATACAGCTCTTGTTGAATCAGCAGATCAATCAATAGAATGATATAACCATCAACACTCCAGTTACATTATTATACAAATACAGATACTTTGTTTACACAATTGGAGAACAGGTTTGCATTGTTTCTTCTAGTAATTTATTCATGGAATTGTTTCATTTTTTTTGTTTTCATAACAACACACACACACACACATGCTGTGTGTGTGTGTGTGTGTGTGTGTGTGTGTGTGTGTGTGTGTGTGTGTGTGTACACAGACTACGGCTCCACGTTAAATGATGACGACATCATAATCAGTGTTGTTGTGTTTTCAGTCCTTCTGTTTAAAAAGTGGGGGCTGGGTAGGTTTAACGCTGTCATAGTTTTTATTCACACCCGTGCTGCTAGTTATGTTTCTATTGCAGATCTGTGTGGGTGAAATGTTCCCTTTCAGTGCTCAAATGTTCAAAACAAAATGTCACATTGATCACTGCAAATGATAAATATCATTAGCTGCAGGAAAATGGTGGTGCAGTGGGTTCAGGGGTCGTGCTGTGGAGGCCGGCTGGTGCAGCTGCCAGTCTAGTTATGGCTCTCCTATTTCTATGTAGTAGTGCACATGGCTGTCAAGAAAACAGGACAGATAGACCTGGTGGGCACTGCTGAACAGCGAACATCACTGTATGTAAACAAAAATATTGTTAACATAAAAACCATGTGTGTCACATGCATGTGGCAGACGTGCTACACACCACCGTTCAACTACTGGCTGCATCTGCATGTAGGTCACTCGTAAATCTGTTTATTAAGTTCATGTCTCCAGGAGACAATATAAAAACACTGTAAAACAAACAACATTGAAAGCCTTTATTGTCAATATACATGGTATAACAAAATTGGAAACAGCTCTATAAAAGTGCACACATGCTTATAGCACATTATAAAACTATACAATAATATAACTATACACTATTATGAATATAAATAGCCAGTACAGTGCTGACACAACGACAGACAGGCAGGGAATTCATGATATTTCAGAGCAGATTCCTTTTGTACAAATTTGAGTTGAGCATGGTGATGGCTTTGGGGAAGAAGCTATCCCTGGGTCTGTTTGTTCTGGCCCTTATGGATCTGTAGCGCCTGCCAGAGGGCATTAGGTTGAAAAGATGGTAGCCGGGGTGGGTAGTGTCCTTTAAAATGTTTCTGGCCCTACTAAGATAATGGGAGTTGTAGACGGCAGACAAGGAGGGCAGGGGGCAGCCAATGATTTTTTGTGCTGTGCTTACCACCCACTGCAGTCCCTTCTTGTCTGCCTCCATGCAGCTGGTGTGCAACACTGTCACTGCATAGGTCAGCAGGCTCTCGATGGTGGATCTGTAGAAGGTTCACCAGCAGAGGGGTGTTTAGTTGCTCCTTCCTAAGCACCTTTAGGAAGTGTAGCCGCTGCTGGGCTTTCTTGACTAGGGCCGTGGTGTTAGCTGCCCAGGAGAGGTCTGCAGAGATGTGGACGCCAAGGAATTTGAGGGACTTCACTCGCTCTACACATTCTCTGTTGATGTGCAGGGGGGCAGGGGCAGTTCTGTTCCGCATTAAGTCCAGGATGAGCTCCTTGGTCTTGTTGATGTTAAGTGCCAGGTTGTTTGATGCACACCATTCACCCAGTCGCAGGACCTCATCTCTGTAAGCCGCCTCATTTCCCCCTGTGATCAGCCCCATCACTGTTGTGTCATCAGCAAATTTGACAGTGATGTTCTCTAAGTGGGCGGGACTGCAGTCATATGTGTAGAGGGAGTAGAGTAGTGGGCTTAGTACACAGCCCTGGGGAGAGCCGGTGGTGAGAGTGCGAGGGGAAGAGCGGTGAGGACCCAGTTTCACCCGCTGGGGTCTGTTGACCAGGAAGTCCTTTATCCAAGAGCAGGTGAATGGCGGGAGCCCTAGGTTGGCTAACTTGGTGATCAAAATGTCTGGTATTATTGTGTTAAAGGCAGAGCTGAAATCAATGAAGAGCATTCTGACATAGCTGTTCAGCTCTTCCACTAGCCCCGCGTCTGAGCCCCCAGGTGTCACAGAACATCCTTTGTAGTTGGTAATGGTCTGCATGTCTTTCACGCCTGTCTGGCGTTGTTGAGATGTTCCTCTATTCTCCTCTTGTATTCTGCTTTGGCGGTCCTGATGCCCCTCCTTAGGTTGGCTTGAGCGGTGCTGTACAATGCTCTGTCACCTGACCTGAAGGTTGTATCACGGGCCCAGAGAAGCAAACGAACCTGGCTCATCCAGGGTTTCTGGTTCGGGAACACCCGGATGCACTTTTCCACAGTGACGTTCCCAATACAGCACTTGATGTAAGACAGTACTGTATCTGTGAATGTTGCCAGACCTTACTTGTAGAAGGCATCCCACTGTGTGTGTTCAAAGCAATCATGCAATCGGGGGAGGGCGGCCTCAGGCCAGCTGGTGATGGCCCTCTTTATGGGCTCTGTTTGCCGGCTGAGGGGAGTGTATACTGGGGTTAGGAGAAGAGAGAGGTGGTCTGACTGACCCAGATGGGGGAGCGGTACAGCTCTGTAAGCATGCTTGATGTTGGAATACACATGATCCAGAGTGTTTTTCCCCTCTTGTTGGGCATTTTACGTGCTGGTAAAATTTTGGTAAAAAAGTCTTGAGATTTGCCTTATTAAAATCCCCTCCTATGATTTGGACGCCGTTAGGGTGGGCACACTGGTGAGAAGTGATGGCATTTAACAGCAGAGAGAGAGCTGTGTTTACATTAGCATCCAGTGCTACGTAGACTGCCATGATTATTACAGCACTTAGCTCTCTAGGGAAGAAAAAGGGTCTGCACCTCACCGTCATGAACTCCAGGTCAGGAGAGCAGTGTCTGTCCACAACAGTGCTGTTGTTACACCAGCCTTCGTGCACATAGATGCAGAGTCCCCCTCCTCTGTTCTTCCCAGATTCACTGTTCCTGTCCCATATGTGTAGCATGTGGCCTACTAGCTGCACCGCGGCATCCGGGATTTGAGAACGTAGCCAGGTCTCTGTGATGATAAGCACACAGCAGTCCCGAACATAGTGATTTCCAGCCAGCTGTACGTCCAAATCGTCCGTCTTGTGTGCCATGGATCTGGCGTTTGTAAGGCAGAGGCTCAGCAGCGAAGGTCTGAGTGGCTGCTTCCTTAGCCAGTAGTCCAGCTCTGCAGCCTCGCTTTTGCTTCCTCTCTCTTCGCCGTCTGCGTCACCTGCGTCACAACAATCCACGGAGATCCCGCTGGTCTCGCTATCCTGTCCGGAATGTTGTGTGTGCGATGAAAGTCGCTGGTGATTGTCATCTTTGTTTGGAAACTGATGTCCAATATCTGCAGACGACTGTAACGTCCAGTTGTGTAGATAGATGCCCGTACAATGTACGTTATGCACACTAGACATACAAAAAGGCACATAGCTGCAGTAACCCACTGCGTCTGTGCGCGGCGCCATCTTGGGAACATAAACTACTGTAAGCTTTCTGGTTTGGATGCTGTGATGATGTTCTCATTAGTGTCTCTTCACCAGCTACTTTGTTCCTCCAGGTTTTGTTGGGGAAACTTTGCATAATGAGGACGCTGTTGGGTCATGTGATGTGTTTTTCCTGTGACTTCCTTTTATTTAACAAACATTCAAACAGTCTTTTCATCTCTTGTTGCTGGACATTAGTTTCTTTAGTTAAATTCATGTGGAAATGTGTCATTTGTGACGAACTCTTGTGATGTCACTTCTTTGGATCTGAGAAACTTCAGGTTCAGCTTCTGTTCTTCCTTCAGTCTGTGAAGAGGAACAAAAATAAAAATGAAATAGAGTAAAATTATTCCAGACTGCTGATTCAGAAATAGATTTGCGTTTGACTTTTTCCAACATAAACTCTGGCTAGTTCTGGGAGAATCAGGTGTCTTCAGTTTACCTTTCTGAAAGGTTCATCCAATAGGCGATAAGGCGTTATCATATTTTTTTTAAACAGCTTGTTGGAATAGATTTTTCTTATATTGTCATTTGTGCTTAGAAACATATAATCATTTGTATGCTGATAAGA